GTACTAGCACAAATCCTCAGTAAATATTTATTAAGATCAATGGCTGCATATACGTGCTGATAGTAGCTTTTTGCTCCTAGTTAGAATTAAGATGAATCATATTATTGATGTGTTAGGACCTCCTTTTGTTTTGAAAGCCTAGGACAGTTTTGTTTCTCACATACTTTGCATGTCTCAGTAGTTACTAGGCATTGTATCCTAATACTTACAAATATATTTAACCTATGGCCAGTTTACCGGGGCTTGAAAACAATAAGGTAACCTATGGGAAAGTCTTGTAAAAGGGCCAATATGAGATTTTGGTAGGTCATTTGTCCTCGATTTCAATAGCCAACCAAGGCACTGACAGTCTATTCACAATCACATTCTACAGTGCTCAATGAATGAGTAACATTGCAGCTAGCACTGAAAGAACAAACAAACAAACAAATGAACAAACAAAAGCAAAAAAGATAAAACAGGGCCTCTCAGAGAGAGTCTAGAAGCTGTGGTAGAAAAGGGAGTTAAGAACATGAAGATATTTATAAAAGGCAAGATTCTTTTTGGCAAAGGTAGAGTTGTAAAGGTAAAGTTGTAACCCCAGCTTGCCTATGATAATGTATCAAAAGAAAACATTCCTTGCCACCCAAATGGTGCAGTACATGAGTTCTCAAATTCTGAGCCAGAAAACACTAGTGAGCCATTAAATACTTTATTTTCTGCCTCTGCCTTTGCCTAAACTGACTTTTCAATTTATCTTAGTCAATTGTCCTTTGTTACCTCAAAAATTTTGAGTTTGAGTATAACAGTGGTTACTGGGTGCTTTTCAGTTTGATCTAATAAGAACTGCCTTTTTATTAAACAAGTATAAACTTTGCCTAAGTTTTTACATATCCTTGTATGGAATATTTCAGCATAAGAGAAAAGAATTTCCAAAAAGAATTTTTTGAGAAACTTTATGGAACATCTCTTGCCCATGCATATATAGCCATAAAAAAAATCATTCAGTTCAGTGTATCTCATCACCGTGGTACTGAAGGTGGGGCAATGTAAAGTGGTCTGATGTGTGCTCACTGATAATCTGTGTTTCCTTTCACTACTCTTAAAACACTGAAAAACCTATATCTCTGAATATAAACTACTAAAGAGATTTATAAAGAATTCATTCATTAATTGTTCATAGGAAAAGACCTTAAATATTTCTTCACATTACATTAACAAATTGATACAAAGTATCATTGGATATTTAATATATTAAATAATCACTCAGTTTGATAATTTTGTATTAACCCATTCTATGTTTTCTTGTGGGCAATAATGAAGTATAGAACTGGGGATTTAGCTCAGTGGTTCCACCGCCTGCCTCACAAGCACAAGGTCCTGAGTTCAATCCCTGGTACCAAAAACAAACAAACAAACAAAACACCCAAAAGTGAAGAATAAAGAAATGACATCAAAACACATTTGAGATATTTGTAAGAAAATGGATACACCTGGAAAATATAATGTTAAGTGAAATAAACCAGACACACGAGCTTAAATACCATATGGTATCTCTCATTTGAGTGAGGCAAAGCAAAAACAAAGAAAATGATAAAGGATGACTAGAAAGGGACAAGGAAACAGATCTCTTGCAATAGGAAAGTGGTCCAAAAGAACAAGGAAAAGGGTTAGGGGGAAGGGAATGGGAAATGAGAGGAATAAAGATAGGCCATGTGCAGGAATCTAATAACCTCAATCAATTAATGTAAACATTATATGTGACAACAGGGGCTAATACAAATAATATCAACAAGCATGAAAAGGGGATAGGGGAACCAGAGGAGTGGGGAGGGGAAACAAAGAGGAAGGAGGTTAAAAATAAAAAGTGGAACAAGCTGTAAAATGTGCATATCACTATTCCCAAGATGATTGTAAACTGCATGAATTGCAAACATTTACTAATACAATTTTTAAAAAAATTTAAAGACATGCATCAAGAATTGAAGATACTGGAATTTATGGAGACAGTTGGAAAGGATTGTGTGTGACCAATAATATACAGAACCAAAATTGTGCGGTTTGGATCTCTGAATAATGTAGCAAAGTCTTCCTCAAATTAGTTATAAATTGAGAAAGGAATGGTCAATTGAGCAATGACTTATTATTCAGCATTCATACAGCTGTGTCATTTCCTGTTGGCTGAGGAATGAGGCTAAATCCACACAGCAGCAGTAAATCATATTAGCAGTCAGCATTAAGAGGAAAAACAAGACTAAATACTTCATCCCAGACCACAGTACTCTTACCAAATAGCCTACATAACTTACCATGCCCTTGACAGGACAAACAGGAAAAATCAAGAGAAAATAAAGGAAAAGTTTCCCTTCCAAGAAAACAAATTCTTTCCAAGTGACAAGTTCCATTTACAATTGCATCTTGTGAGCCTTATTTTCTCAATTCCTCTTTCTCAAAAAATTAAAAATATGAAAAATATGTTGACGTCACATAAGACCAGCGATGGATCACCCTCCTGGCCACCTGCAAAAGAGACAAATGTAAAATTGTAATATGTCAACACAGAAAAGTTTGTAAGTTTGTACTCTAGCCCGTACTCTTCATGCTTTTAAAAGTACTTAATATCCACCATCTCATTAAATCCTCAAAGAGAATGTCTATGACTCATATTTATATTTTGACATAATATTATGAAGGCATCCTGCACATTTTCTTGTTTTTATGTCAGTTTTCTCTTTACTCTGCTGATAATACTTAGAAGTGACCTATGCTTTCTCCTCACTGTGTACTTGCTTTTTCAAAGGCGTCTGCTGACATCTGAAGAGAGGCAGGAAACCATGAATAAACAATTAGGATTATGCCTCACAATATTCTACTGTGAGCCGAAGTCTCCATGAATATACCACATTTGAAAAGGGAGGTGGCTGTAATGCATTTCTAAAGAAGAATGTTGGAAAGTACAGGGCACATGATTTTCTAAGCAGCCTTATTGTGCAGATATTACTGTCACATAAGGATGAAACTAAAGAAAAGCATTCCGTCAGTGTTTGCCCAAGGTCAGACAGTGCCTTGGTCCGACCTGGTCTAAAACCCAAGTCCCTGACTTGTCTAGTGCTCAAAGAAAGAAAGAACTATTGTAGTTTATCAGTCCTCTGCCATCCCTAGGTGGAGACTGTCTGCATTATCCCTCCCTCCAGGCCTGAAGTTGGCCCTTTTTGTGACAGAGATAATGCAGTTTCTCTGAGAGGAGGATTCTCCCTTATAATTAAGAGGTTGACCACAAAGGAAAGACTTGTTAAGCCCAAACCTCTTAGAACAACTGAATATGCACTACTATGAAAACCATACAGAAATATTTACTATTTGTTTTATTTTCTCTTGATCTTAATGGCAAATCTGAGAAAGAGAGTAATAAGCAAAAAAAACAGACACATAATTAACAAAAGGAAAGTTATTAGGTATTATCTGATTCCCTAGATGGGGATTTACATCTTCCAAATGAACACATTTCTTAGAGGAAAATGTTTTATCACAGTGTAAAATTTTAGTGTTTTCCAGAATATGATCTGTATTTTGATCCCACGGCAATGAACAATTTCAAGGTTGTACAGCTAGTGACGTGACAGATGCAGGCCTGAAACTGGAGCATTTCACATTCATTCATGATGATTCATGATGTCCTGCTCCAATCCCTCCTTTCACTGACTTCACACGGCCTTTAGATTAAAATCTAGCAGGGCCAGTTACACCTTCTCTATAATCAGCCCTTCTATTGTGTGCAACAGACCAATACATCCAATCAAGCCAGGTCTTTCCTTTCGAAGGAGACCCCAGGATTCTCATCTCAAAAAGGAAGAGAAGATCGTTCCTGAATCTCCTAAACTTTATGGGCCTCCCCATCTGCTATTTACTTCAGGGATTTTAACTACCCTTCATTATGCCTTTTCATGCTCCGTACTGAACTTTTCACTTCAACTTCTTATATACAAGTCAAGAAGTTGCTATAGGGGGATCTGTAAATTGGTTTGGGCCAATGTCTTTATTTCAATTGAAAACCCCTACCATTTGGGGTACTAGAGATGAAGATGACATTCTCACCGACAAAGCAGGAAACAAATGTGTGGGATGTTTTGTCCTTTCTAAGACTTCCTGGAAGTCAGAATTGGAAGACCAGGGAAAGGGATGTACAGGTGGTGGACAGGTGGGAGGTTTGCACCTGAGCTTTCCAGCCTTTGGAGGGCAGCCAAGGGTGCTTTTATTCCAGGAAGATGGGATCTAATGATTCAGGAATCAAAGGGCAGAAGCAGAATCCCTTCCTCCAAGGCTCCCAGTTGCAACTGGGGCAGTAGGTACAACTTTCTGACCCTGTGTGTTTGGGTCTGTAGTGCGGTAGCTGTGAGCTTCCAGTAGGCTTTTTCACTCGGTTATAAGCATCTTCCACTTCTCTTTCTTCTTCCCTCCCATTCCTTTGACCCACTCAACTCCTCAAAACGTTTCTTCTTCTTTCAGGAAGATAGGTCTGATAGGTCTCCGAATGTAGCTCATTACTATGACCCAGGCAGGCCAGTTCCTCCATCTGGAACAACCTCCGCTTATGTTCCGTAGCCTGTGCGCCTGATGCATACTTTTAAAAAAGATATATATACAACCACATTACCCTTTTGCACCCAAGATTTGCTTCTTACATTCTATAAATATGTTTTGACTGGGGTAGGAAATCATCTTGTTTTCACAAATGTTTCTAATGCTTCTGGAGAAGAATCCACATGAAAGCATTTTTAAAGGAATTCTGGTACAAATTGCTGTGCACACAGCAGGCTTTCGCCTCCTCCTGGACTTGCACAGTCCCATTCAGCATTAAATCGTGTTCAGGGTCTTCAAATTGTCCTAGAGCCTTCTTCTGAAATGCATCCTGCGCCGTCACCCTAGAGGGCGCGCTGCTTACATTTTCGGCAAGCAACGCGACAACGCTCGCTCCCAGGCTCCATAAAAGGGGAGGAGGCGGACCAGTTTCCTTCTCTCATTGAGAAAGGAGAGGATTGGAAGGCCGGGCGTATAAAGCCGCGCAGAGAGCGTGAAACAAAGCAGTCGGATCGGAATTGGACTTGGGAGGCGCGGTGTGGAGTCAAGCATAAAACTTGTTGGAGAGGAATAACGAGCTGGCTCCTCTCGTCCCCCTCCACCTCTGCGCTGAGCTTCAGGGGTTTCCACCAGCCTTGCGATTTATTTTTATATTTGCTTTTTACAGAGATAAATCTATCTATCTATCTATATTTTTTTTCTTAAGAGAACATTCCTGTTCCAAGAGACTATAAGGCAACATCAATGAAGGAGAGAAGAGCCAGCCAAAAATTATCCAGTAAATCTATCATGGATCCTAATCAGAACGTGAAATGCAAGATAGTCGTGGTGGGAGACAGTCAGTGTGGGAAAACCGCGCTGCTGCACGTCTTCGCCAAGGACTGCTTCCCCGAGGTGAGTGCTCCGGGTCGGACTCTAGGAGGTCGCCCGTTGGGGTCCCCGACTCGAGATAAGCTTCCCTTGCGTTTTCTCTTTCACTGATCCCCCCACCCCTTTAAAGAATCCTCTTTCTTACCTCTGTCTACTTTCCCTTAGGTCCGACTGCTCGGAAAGGGAAAGTGAGCTGGCAGCATTTGGGGTTGGGACTCCAGCCCAGGGAGCTGATAGCTCTTGAAACTTGCTCGCTGGCTCGTGCGGAGCCGGGGTGGGGAGACGTGGGCCAGCTTGCCTCGGAGAGCGGGCCGCGGGTATGGGTTCCGGGAGGCTGCAGTTTTTATTTTGAATTGGGAATTAAGGGGGCGATTTTCAAAACGGTGGATGTGTCTTGTATTTTAAAATAACCTCTTTGCCCCCTTTCTTTCCCCTTCTGCCCATTCTGTTTGTTTAGAATTACGTCCCTACTGTGTTTGAGAATTACACGGCCAGTTTTGAAATCGACACACAAAGAATAGAGCTGAGCCTGTGGGACACTTCGGGTAAGTCGTTCGACCGCGTGGCGCTTGGGGCGGATTTCCAGGGTCGGGTGGGGGTGCGCGGAGGGTCTCGGGATCCGCGCCTCTCCTTTAACTTTACTCCTCCGACGGACGGATTCCCACGGTCCCTGCTGGAGGAAAATTTTATGCTTTTTGGGTGGGGGCGGGGGGCGACAGCGGGAGAAGGAGGGGCGGCGGGGG